CTGAGTTTCATCCCTTGCTCCCTGGCTGCTTGGATACCCACCAGGAGCTTCCTGCACCCTGTCACTTGGATACCCACCAGGATCTATTAGCTGGAAGGCAGAGGAGGGCAAGTCGCTAGTCAGAGCTGCAGCTGAAGGACAGGCAGCCCTAGCAGGTGTGCTTAGATGAGCGTTTCTTAAACGTTTTAAGACCAAGGAACACCAAAAAATACTTTTTTAAAATGAGGAACACTAAGGATTTTTTGTTGAGGAAAAAAAAGGGGGGGGAGGGAGTTATTGAGAGAAAAAAAAAGGGTCAGGGAAAAGTTCTTGAGCAAAAAAAAAAAAAGTTATTGAGAGGAAAAAAAGGGTCAGGGAAAAGTTCTTGAGCAAAAAAAAAAAAAAAAAGGTCGCCTGCCCCTTTAAGGGTGGCCATTTTCAACTCTGTTGTTCTCCAGAACACAGAACATGGTTTTAGAAACACTGGCTTAGATAGATTGACAGGAGTGGCAGAGGTAGGTAGGACGGACGGCTGCTGGGACCACTCCCTTCCCTGGGAGCGTGCGGGGAAGCTGGCTGTGGACTGCAGACATGTGTAGATAATGCTGTAGGCTGGGGCCTGCTGGAAGGGTCCAGTCAAACCTGGTGGTGGGGAAGGAGACCGGGAGTGGTTGTGGGACAGCCCAACAACCAGCAGCTGTTGCATAAAGAATATTTGTCAGCAAGTCGAACCCTGACGTCCTTCCTCCAGCAGGCCTCTTATTGACTCCAGCCAGCTGTATCTGACAGCTGCTGAGCCTGGGTAGGTCGGTGTGGGCTCGGCACCTTTGTACCTCCAGCCATGTGCACTCACGTGCCGAAGTAAAATGGACATAGACACCCAATCTTTGGTACCCAGCTGTGAGAGTGTTGGTATAAATGACTTACCCAAGGCCAAAGAGGCAGAACATAGACACCCAACCTTTGGTACCCGGCTGTGAGAGTGTTAGTATAAATGACTTACCCAAGGCCAAAGAGGCAGTCAGTGGAAGAGCTGGGATTAAACCTCCCCCCCTCCCCCAATCCTGGCCTGGCTTCCTGACCCATGTCCACTAGTCCACACTTGCAATTCTAGTGCCAGATAACTGTCCTAGGTGGGAAGGGGGAAGAATGAAATCCTGCCCTTCCAGCTGATGGAATCAGTCTCTTCCATCTCTAGCTGCAGTGTGAGCAGTCAGTTCCCAACGGGACGGCTGCTGCTTAAGAACCTAAAGGTAGCTTGCCAGGGACTGTGCTTAACCTGGCAGTAGGCAGATGGTGAAGTCTGCTTGCTGCCCTATATGCACGACGCAGAAGGCAGCAGAGCTGGCAGGGAGTGGAAAACTCCCCGGCAATCTTTGCAACCCCCTCGCTGCTGGGGTGATGTTATTGCGATGGATCTGACAAGGCCAGATCCTGCCAGAATCCGCCTCGCTCCATCACCATCCCACGGCCCCCAGCACTGCAGCGACTGAGAACTTGACTCGGTGTTCTGGCTCGGTAGCCGCAGCACAGAGTAAGGGAGCAGAATCCCCCTGCACTGTCGGTCCCGGAGGCCCACAGCAATGAAATGACCTGCCCAAGGTCTGGGAACAATCTGGGAACTTCCCAGTTTCCAGCCCTGCACCTTCATTGAGACAACCCTTCCTGTACTGTCAGGAACTGGGGCTTTTCCAGAGCTGACTGTTGCCTTGCTGCTAGAAAAAGAAGTCAAGGAGACATGCTTAGAATGTGTTAATTCTGAGCGTGGCTCAGACATTAGCATTGGGAAGTGTCTATAGCACCTCCATCCACCCGGCGTGGTGCAGGACATGGCATCTTGCTCCTGTTACTCTCTTCCCCAGAGCCCTCGCCCTGTTTTAGAGCCCGGAGTCCTTCAGCCATGTTCCCCTGGAGCCCTCGGGGCTGGAGCTACTCACCAAAAGGCCAGCATCTGTGCTGAGCTCCCTACACCTGCTGCTGTCCCAGCACTGGCTGTGGACTCCGCCGTCGGCGTGGAAGAGCAGCACGCCCAGAATCGCCAGCAGGCCACTCCGCACGGGTTTCAGCATCTTCAGGTGGGGCTCGGAGTCCTGAGGAAACAGTACAGGCAGGGGTGATACCCGGGGGGATCGCCGTGACATGTATCGGACATGCTGGCAGCCGACCCCTCGGCCCCCAGGGGAATCCGTCACGGACGCACGAGGCAGGGAGGAAGGCTGGGTGATGCTCAGTGAACTCGCCAAACTGGTCCCTCCAAACGTAGTGCCTGGACGGGAGGCCTCTGGAGAAGACGTTTATCTGTTACCCGAGCCCTGCTGCCAAACGGAAGCTGTCAGACTGTGAAGGGATAGAGGGCTCGGACTGAAATTCAGCGTTTGGCCCCTCTTTTCCCCTGTTTGGCCAAAATCACAGCCCGGGCCTTGAGTGCCCAGGGGTTCCCACGCAGAATTCCACATGTGGCCTGTGTCTCTAATGCAGTGGTCCTCAACATTTTACCTCATGCCCCCGCTTATCCCTGTCTGCACCCCTCCCCCAGAGAGGGGCTGCAGCTCGGTGCGGGGGCAGTTACAGAGGTAAATATGGAACCAGACCCAGATTTCTTATCCTAAGAAGCACTTATAGTGCGTAAGAAATAACCCCCCATCCTCTGTGTCTGGCATTCTGGCCTGGTTGTATAACACCATGGGTATGTCTAGACTACATGGCTCCGTCAACAGTGCCATGAAGATGAGTTTACTAGACATAGGGAAATGAAGCAGTGATTTAAATAATCACTGCTTCATTTACAGCAAAACGGCCACCGCGCTGTGCTGATCAGCTGTTTGGCGGCACAGCGGGGCAGTCTGGACGCGCCGCGGTCAACAACGGAAGCCTTTGTCGACCGCTCCGATAAACCTCATTCCACAAGGCATAATGGAGCCCTGTAGTCTAGACATACCCTATGGTTTCAAGATCTTCAGTGCCAACCTATGACCCGTCCACGCTGGTTCTTCCTTCCCACTCAAAGGAATTGGTCTGCCCCTAACAAGACCACGGATGGTTTTGTCCCAACTCGAGCCTAGAGTGTCTATGCAGGACTTAACTAGCCCGGCTCTTTCCCCAGGCAGAACTGAGATGAATCACTGCTACTGAGTTATTTACGTGGTTACTTAACATATTGTGCACAGAACTGAAAGAAACCAGCCTCCCCACCCCCTTTGATCTTTCTCCTTCCTCCAGTCTTCCTAATTTTCTTCATCTCTCAGAGTCATGCTCCTCTCAGTACATTCAGCTAGCTGGGGGAGCTGCCTCAGCTTGCCAGTTTTATTACCAACACACCCTAGCAAGAAGGCGCGGGCTCGGAACATTTCAACAGAACATCCCAGAAGTGCAGAAGGCAGCCAGAACAATAAGATGAGTAATGGTTTCGGCTCGGTTTGAACTGGAAAAATCCAGCCAGAGGACTGGATCCTGCTCTGCTCCTCGGCTCTGCAGACACATACGTGAACGGACATGTTCCTGAGCACACTTGGCTTTAAAGATAGCTTTTACCTGCATATTATTACTGAAGTCATTAGCAACACATGCTGGACCTGTTTCTTAGACTTTCATGTGAGGAACTAAAAGCTTGTTGCAGATACGAATGAATTCAGCCTCACATAGCTGTAGAAAGGGGAACATGCACAGAAGAGATTTGTCCAAAGGAAGTCACTCAGGGTGTGTCTAAACTACATGGCTCCGTTGACAGAGCCATGTAGATTAGGCTGATCAGCAGAGGGAAATGAAGCCGCGATTTAAATAATCGCGGCTTCATTTAAATTTAAATGGCTGCCGCGCTCTGCCAACCAGCTGTTGAACAGCTGTTTGTCGGCAGATCGGGGCAGTCTGGATGCACCACAATCGACAAGGAAGCCTTTGTCGACCGGCACAGGTAAACCTGGTTTCACGAGGCATACCTGCGCCGGTCAACAAAGGCTTCCTTGTCAACTGCGGCGCGTCCAGACTGCCCCGATCTGCCAACAAACAGCTGATCATCAGCTGGTTGGCAGAGTGTGGCAGTCATTTAAATTTAAATCGCAGCTTCATTTCCCTCTGCCGATCAGCCTAATCTACATGGCTCCATCGACGGAGCCATGTAGTTTAGACACACCCTCAGTGAGCATACAGGCGACTCAGAAGGAGATAGCAGGTGGCTGGACTCCCAGTCTCTTGCACTGAACAACATCTGATGAAGTGGCTTGGACCCATGAAAGCTGATGCCCAAATACATCAGTTAGTCTCTGAGGTGCCACAGGACTCCTCATTGTTTTTACAGAGACAGACAAACATGGTCACCCCTCTGAGACATGTCGCTAGATAACAGTCTTGATTAACAGATTCAGAATCGGCAATTCTATCCCCAGCCGCATACAGATCGCATTCTCTCCATTCAAACGCGGCTGGGCGTTTGTTCTGTTGAATAGAGGACAATGCTCATTGCTCAATGCTATCTCTTTCATTCCTAATTAAAAAGCATCACTTTTGGGAAGGAACCCAGCTCCGGTAATTCGATTTTATTGGGGAAGAAAGAGCGAGACTTTCTCAGATGACATTTGCTACCTGAACTTTCATAGGAGGCTAGATTAATGGGGGTAAGATTGCTAATGGAAAAATATTAGCACTGCCGTCTGCAGGGTTATAGCCCTGCTAAAGGGCTCACTTCTACTCTTCTGTAGCTGACAGTGAACTGAGATGCCTTGTAAAACAGTGAGGAGTCCTGTGTGCACCTTAGCCCTGGTTTATATTAGGGAATTATTTTGGAATAACCTCCCCCCCCCCCCCCTGACATTACCATGCCTGTTATTTCAAAATAACAGGCTGGTTATTTCGAAATCTGTACTCCTGCTTTCCTGGGGCTACATCTAGACTGCAGGCCTCTTTCGAAAGAGGCTTTTTCAAAAGATACTTTCGAAAAAGCCTCTTTCGAAAAAGAGCGTCTAAACTACAACCTCATCATCTAATCAACTACAAAGCTCATCATCTAATAAACCATCTGGTTAGTCTTTAAAGTGCTACATAGTCCTGTATTTTGTTTAAACTACAACCAGTACTTTTGAAAAAGAAGGCGCTTTTTCGAGAGAGAGCACCCAGGCAGTCTGGATACTCTCTTTTGAAAAAGCACAGTTTGCAATACATAGCGCCTTTTTTCGAAAGAGCACTTTCAAAAAAAGGCATTATTCCTTGTAAAACAAGGTTTTCCGTGGTCGAAAAAACTGCCACGTTCTTTCGATTTACTTTTGAAAGAACACGGCAGCAGTCTAGATTCAGGAGAAGTTTTTTCGAAAAAAGGCCACTTTTTTCGAAAAATACCTGTAGTTAAGAAACACCAGGGCTACGTCTACACTGGCCCCTTTTCCGGAAGGGGCATGTAAATTTCACTAGTCGTCGTAGGGAAATCCGCGGGGGATTTAAATATCCCCCGCGGCATTTAAATAAAAATGCCCGCCGCTTTTTTCCGGCTTTTAAAAAAGCCGGAAAAGAGCGTCTAGACTGGCCCCGATCCTCCGGAAAAAGTGCCCTTTTCCGGAGGCTCTTATTCCTACTTTGAAGCATTAGAGCCTATCTTTTCCCTTCACCTACACAGTGGCTGTGGGACTAAATGGACAGTTTTGTAAGAAAATGTTTGTGTTCCTTGAGGTTTCTGAGGTATTGGAAAAACAAAATAAAAAACTATCACAAACTGAGCCATGCTCACATCCATGTTTTGGTTTTAGAGCCACAGCCGGAATTGTTTTGGTTTTCAGTTGAAATTTCAGGAAAAAAAGTGTGTGTGTGGGTGGGTGGGTGTGTGTGTGTGTGTGTGTGTGTGTGTGTGTGTGTGTAAATGCATATGCTACTTTGTTGTATTATCAATACTCCTGGGGTCTCTTCTAACTCAAATCTTCTATGAGTCTGTTTGGTTTTTTTGGTTAAACCCTGAAAAATGCCACAGATTTGTGTGATGAAAAATGTTCGGGTACTTTCATGAAAAATAAAATACTCTTTTCAATCAGCTCTTCTTACCGCTTCTTGGGATTGGGCCGTGGATAGTTCCCTTACACCAGCGCTACTCAACACACGGTCCAGGGGCCTCATGCAGCCTGTGGCCCATTTGTTTGCGGCCTGCGGTGCAGTTTGGGTTTACTGTGCGGTGTGGGTTGAGATGTGTTTTAATAGGTAAATTCCTGGACTGTTGTGAAGCCAACACAAAAAACTAGTCAATATAATGGTCTTCTGTTGATATGTGTTTTAATAGTTTAATTCCTGGACTGTCATTGATCATTAAAAGTGCTATCATATGGGTGGAAATTGGATAAATATTGCATTTTATTAATATCAGCAGAACTGACTTAAATGGGGCCTCTGTGTTGTGTAGTCTTGCCTTAATCTTTGTATTCATGCCCATCAGTGTAAAAGAAGCTATTTGCATATATTTCCCTATATATTTGCATGTATATGCAACCACACTTAGGCTGTGTCCAGACTCAGGGGTTTTTTCGGGAAAAGTAGCCTTTTTCCGAAAAAACTTCCCCTGCGTCCAGACTCAAGCCGTGTTCTTTCGAAATTAAATCGAAAGAACGCGGCTTTTCTTTCGATGGCGGTAAACCTCATTTCACGAGGAAGAACGCCTTCTTTCGAAAGTTCCTCTTTCGAAAGAAGGCGTTCTTCAATGTAAATAGGGCTTCTTCGAAAGAGAGCATCCAGACTCACTGGATGCTTTCTTTCAAAAAAGCAAGCCGCTTTTTCGAAAGTTCAACGTGCAGTCTAGACACTCTCTTTCGAAAGAGCCTCTTTCGAAAGAGAGCGTCTAGACTGCACGTTGAACTTTCGAAAAAGCGGCTTGCTTTTTCGAAAGAGTTTTCACCAAGAGGGATCTTACTGACGACAGTGGAATAAAGTTCTGTTTCATGTGGGTGAGGCCATATCTACATAAGGACCCTGATATAGCAGTGGTGGGCATTCTGCAGACCTGTGACCTGCAGACCCACTGGCTGGGCCCCCGCCTCTTGTACACTGAGATACCAGAGCCCTGCACTTCCTATACCTCCCTCCTCCCTCCCAGCACTTTCAGAGCACCACAAATTGCCTGATTCACACCCCACTCCTCCCTGTTTCTCCCAGAGCCGGAATGCTGTGAATCAGCTGTTTGCAGCATTCCAGCTGTGGGAGGGAGGGGGCGGAGCAGGTAAGTGTGGGGCTCTGGTGCCCCAGTGCTCAAGAGGCATGTGGGGGATGGGGAGCAGACTGTGGGGCTGCAGAGGGAACCCCAGTGCACCACGGGCTGCTGCAGCCCACGGAGATGAAGGAGGGCCACACGTGTGGCCCACCCACTCTTCGTGGTTGCCCATCCCTGAGCTATAGAATGCCAGCACAGCCCTTCTGGAGTGGATGCAGCTATGCCAGCCAGCTGTGCTTCATGCTGGTACACTGAAGCCACCCTTGTGATGAAACACGCTCCGACATCACCCCCTCGGAGTGAAAGGGCTTTTGTGCTGGTCCAGCTGTGTCGACGCTACCAGCTTTTGCCAGCAAAGCTCCGGCAGTCAGGGATCGCCTCTTCAGACGCCCGTGTGACACAGCCTATATTTACCCTCCAATCTTAAACTGACCTATGTCAGGGTGGATTACAGCCACCACATTAATTACAGCGGTGACTCGTGTTCACACTATGCTCCTTCTGTGGGTGGTGCGGGTTCTCCCCAGGAGCCCTTCCATCAACTGAGGTGGGGCCCTGGGGGGGGGGGGCGGAAGGGGAGGCTGAGCGCTAGGGCTCTGCTCCATGCAGTTCCCGCTGGGAGCCCAGTTCCTTCAAGGTTTCTCACCTCCCAGCCCGGAGTAGGGAAAAGGCACCAAGGGGGCAGATCCATGCCTGGAGCCTGGGCAGCAGTCCGAGCCAGGAACCTCGGTATCAGTCTGGCGTGGAGTGGAGATCTAGCAGCAGCTCAGCTGGGAAGCCAAGCCGTGAAATTGACAAGAATGATAGCCAACAGCTGATGTAAAGAATGCAGCGTCTACACAGACACTGTCACCCTAACTATACCGATATAAGTCCTGCTTCTCTTATCAAGGTGTCTCAGAGGGGTAGCTGTGTTAGTCTGTAAATGAAAAAACCCTGGACCCCTTAGCTCCATTCATCAGAAGAAGTGGGTTGTGCCCATGAAAGCTCTTCATACCATCTACATTTTTTGTTAGTCTCTAAGGTGCTGCAGGACCATTCGTCGTTTTTTAAGGTCTTTTCAAGGTGGTTTACAATGTTAGCTTAGCAGGGGAGGTGCATCGGCAGGAGGGGCATTTTGATGCATACACCTCCACTGTTTTGTCAACAAATGCTGACTTCTCTTTACTGTAGACAAGGCCATAGTTATGCTGGTAAAAATTTATCCTATAAATTCATCCCTCTCCCGTCGCCCATTCCCAGCTTCTGACAAACGGAGGCTAGGGACACCATTCCTGCCCATCCTGGCTAACAGCCATTGATGAAACTATCCTCCGTGAATTTATCTAGCTCTTTTTTTTGAAACATGTTATAGTCTTGGACTTCACAATATCTTCTGGCAAGGAGTTCCACAGGTTGACTGTGCATTGTGTGGAGAAATACTTCCTTTTGTTTGTTTTAAACCTGCTGCCCATTAAGTTCATTTGGTGACCCCTAGTTCTTGTGTTATGGGAAGCAGTAAATAACTCTTCTTTATTCACTTTTTCCACACCAGTCATGATTTTATAGCCCTCTATCATATCCCCCCTTAGTCATCTCTTTTCCAAGTTGAAAAGTCCTAGCCTTATTAATCTCTTTTCATATAGCAACCATTCCATACCCCCCATAATTTTGTTGCCCTTTTCTGAACTTTTTCTAATGCCAATATATCTTTTTTGAGAGCTTGTCTAAAGTTATTTCTCTCTGGCCCTGAGGGCTTTGTCTGAAGTTATGGATTTGGTAGGACTGTTTCTTTATCTTGACTAAACTAACATTGCTGCTATGTTACCATATGCACCGTTAACAGATTGCTCTTGGTTTAAACAACACAAGACACAAGTTGGTTAGAAGGCAATGATTTGCAGCTAGGACACAGGGATGCTTTTAATAAGGCTGGTCATAAAACAGATCAACTCTAAAGAAAAATATCCTCTCCTGATCTTTTGTCAGGGTGCAACCACTAGTAACCTTTGACATTGTTAAGGAGGGCGAGAAAGTACAAAAGATCTTGGAGCTGTGGACAGCGACAAAGAGGGGGTCTGTAATATATTTAGAAAACAGAACAATCCGGAGCAATATAGAGGAACAGGAAAAAAAAAAAAAAAAAGCTTTAGGTAAGAATTTAATAAATACTTAGGTCCAAGGAACAGTGAGGAGTGGGCTAGGATGGTTTGTTCTGGGAGGATTGGCTTCCGCTTGTTAAATCGCTGGCCATGGGTAATTTATCTTAGCATGCAAATGAATTGTAATAGAGCTCTAATATAAACTATTTCTGCCTTAAAGCAAAGAGGACTTAGCATTCAAGTGTCATTCCTTTGAGACTCACATAACAGTCAGGACAATCAATCCTGGGACAACCCCATTCTGAAATATGCCATCGAAAGAAAGCAGCTAGTGGGAAAGCAGGTTTTTGTCCCCTGGTAGCTTTACAGCTCCCCAGAACAGCTGATTCCTTGAAATCACATCTGATACAAAATATTGCTGCTGGATTACACTGCCAGGATAATTGCTCGTTCTTTAGCTATGGAAGGATTGGAACCACAAGACAAATGCCTCTGTTCTCCTGTCTTACAGGGAGCGGAGAAAAGATCAGAGCAGAAGGAATAAAGAGGAAGAGCAGGAGTCGTACTGACTTACCTGTTGCTGTGGAGTGTGATCTTGGCTTCCCAGTCTGATGCCTCACTCTCCGTCTCTGCGAGCGACTGTAGCTCCCAGCTCTTTTTATACCACAGGCTGGGCTTTGTGCTGGGCGTTTCATCCAAGGCAATCTTCCGGACAGACCTTTTGAAGCAACAGTAAAAAGCGCTGGGAAAAGGGGGCGTGTGGGGTGGGGAGATGGGCAAAGAAGCCAGTGACGAGGGAAGGCTCCAGGTGTGGAATAGAACAAAAGATTAGCAAACAGTGTCTGGAAGATGGGCGTTTGCTGGGTTGATCCCCATGGTAAATGGGGAGAGATTAGCATCTGCCTGTGAGCAGGTACTCCGGGAAGAGCATGGTACAGTTTTCCAGTCATGCTTGCTAATTGCATTTCCAGAGCGGAGATGGCAGGTTTTAATTAAAAGTCAACCCCCCTTTGGACGCAGGTATTAGTGAGCCATCAAGGTATCAATGCTGGGTCCGGGTGCTGTTTATCACATGCATGTTGGCGTGGTTGTTAGTCACTGTTCAGTGGCAGATGCTGGGCTCCACGGGGCTTTGCAAATTTGTGTTGCTCTCAAAATATATTGTTCTCCTGCATTTTTAAAAGTGAATATTGTGTTAGTGGAAGCTTGTCCCGCCACAGTCCATGCGGCACCTGTTCCATGGGTTGACATGGTGGGTCGACAGCTCTGGGCTGCATGGAACAGGTGCCGCATGACCGTGGCAGGGCAAGCTTTCCCCAAGATATCTTGCAAGACACCAGCCCTATCTAGAAGCCAGAGGAGAATTTCCATCTCTGTGGCCCAGTCAGTCCTTGGCCTCATGGTTGGCCAGTGAGAGTGAAATCTAGGTTTTGAGGTCTGGACACTAGAATATTTCTGACTGGGTTGGCCTTGGATATTGGATATTTAAAATATGTTCCTATTGGCACTGTGGTAGCCTCTAGCAGTCTCCATCAAGGAGCAAGGCCTGCTATGGCCAAGCAAAGAGCCCCAAAGTCGATATGCCGGGGGTCAAGACATGGGCAAACCAGACAAAGGAGAAGGGAGCTTTGGAAACCAATCTAAAAATCTCAGCTTGCATCCACTTTCTTCCTGGCCAATGCTCTGTGAGGTAGCATGACTCGGAGGTGCTTTTGGCCTTGTTAAATGAACGCAAACCAAATGGCATTTTCGGGCCATGCCCCTCTTGTGCTCACTTCCCACAACCCCCCGGAAACAACAGTTGGTTTCAGACGTGGCTGTCCAAAGTGGCCATGTTCAAGGCTGCTTTGCAAATGTTACATCCTGGGCGCAGTGCTCCTGTCATGTGACTTCTCTGGCCAATGCCAAACAACCAGCTCCGCTTGGATTGTGACTCTCCAAGATTGGATGCTCTCTGCAAACCATCTGCAGCCGATTCATAGAGGGAAAGAAAATTGGAAAAAATAATTGTCACATAAATCTGAATATTTAATAAATCGAGGGACACTGTGATTGTTCCCGGGACATGCAACAAACAGAAGATGAGGCAAAATGTGATGAATTAATTCTGCCTAGTGTATTATTTGCACTGCTCTGATATAATAGCCATATAAGCAAATCCTGCGCTCTTTATTATTTCTTCTTACTTCATTGACTGTGATGGGATTTTTGACCTGTCCTGCATCCCTTTACTTCCCCCTGCTGGCTGCCTGCTTTGCTTTTGTTCTGGGGGCAGCTTCCCAGTGCTCTGGGGCCCATGGCAAAGCCATCACCGATCCCCCAGTGATAGCTGACCAAGGCCTTCTGGAAACTTTCTGGGTAACAGCCACTGCCTCAAACACAGCCTAGTCTCACCGTTGTCTCCTGCCCCAGTTTTACCAACTTTGCGTTTAGCTCAGGGCAAGCCGTCCCCTGAACCCCTCCTTTTCAAACCCAGAAGTGCTGCTTTGAGACGTCCCATAGGCAATTCATCGCGACAGCAATGCTCACAGCGACCTGAGCTGTCTCCGCTCTCCCCGGCGCTGAAATTCTTTTCCTGGACAGAAGAGCAATTCCGGGACGTTTTATGAGCCTGGCCAACAGCTAAAAGGGATCCAGGATTTTCTTTTTAAAGGCTCCTCCATCATCCTCAAGCCGCTTTCTATTTTTATCGGGAAACCCAGAAATTGATTTACTAGGTTCCAGACCCTTATTAATGAAGACATTCACAGGGGAAATGCAAAGGCGATGTGCCTCGCATCTGTGCTGAATGCCCCCGATGCATGGAGCCCAAGGAGAGTACGCACCAATGTTCCTTCTAATTTGTTTCCATCCGTGTGCGGAATAAATGTTGTTATGTGCACTGAGGCATGTGTGGATGTGCACCACCAATAGAAACACATGCTGCCGGCTGTGGGCAGCTCTGAGCGCTCTGCTAACCGGTTGGGCAGAATCTGTCCTGTGTGGCCGCCTGTGACGTAGTGGGGGTACTTGCTGGGCTGTGGTGACCCCTGCTGTCTGGAGCAAGACCCAGCAGGGAAAACCTCACTATGCAAAGGTAATGCCAAACTTGTTGAACCAGATACCCCCCATGGAGAGGAACAAAGGAAGGGGGAATGCTGCCTTGGCTGGGGGGCAGGGCTGGAAGAGAGTTAGTTAGTTCCTGTCTGGAAAGCAGGGGAGAAGGAGCTGGGGAGGGGGGCTGGGACTCCCCTATCTCAAGGGGAGCACTGAGGCCTCTTAGCCCCAGTTCCTGTAACCAGATTACATCTGTGCTATGCTGTATCCTGGAGGAGCAATAAACCACCCTCAATTCCACCGGCTGGTGGAGTCTGTGCCATTTCGGGGTGCAGGAGACGGGGGACCCCCAACGCGCCGTCACACCGCCCAAGCACTCAGCTTACAGGGAACGCTGGTACTCATTCTGGATATTCCATGTCAGATCTCACCTTTGCTGGCCAGCACCCCCTGGTCCCGAGATGAGCATCTGGTATTACAATTTCATCCCCTTTGGCTTTAGAAGAGAAATGAGCTGCAGCGCAAAGCCTGCACTTTAGACCCAAATTCCCATCGCTCAAAGATGTTCAGCTGCAGGGGTCAGATCCTTAGCTCCCTCGGCGCAGTGGTGTTGCATCGCGGATGTCAAAGTGAGACGGCAAGAGTTGTGTAAATAAGTCACTGTGAATTTTACATAAGAACGGGCAGACTTGATCAGACCAAAGTATCTAGCCAAGTATCCGGTCTTCCGAGAGTGGCCAATGCCAAGTGCTTCAGACTGGGGCCCACCGGACTCATGATACACTGATAGGGTTGGCCTTGGCTATTGGATATTTAAAATATGTTCCTATTGGTATTATGGTACTGTCTAGGAATCTCTGTCAAGGAGCAAGGACTGTTATGGCTAAGCAAAGAGAACAGCCCTTTCCCCATGGTGCTCCAAGATGAAACGCCAGAGGATCAGGGAATCACCAACTAATCTATCCCCTGTCTCTTGCAAACTGTATAAGCACAGAACTGGCAAAAAATGTTCTCACATAACAGGAAATTCAGGAAAATACGACTATAAAACCAGATTAGAAAAGAGCTACACAAATGCATGGAGCTCTGCCCATCCTGGCTAATAAGAACATAAGAACATAACAATGGCCGTACTGGGTCAGACCAAAGGTCCATCTAGCCCAGTATCCTGTCTACCTACAGTGGCCAGCACCAGGTGCCCCAGAGAGGGTGGACCGAAGACAATGATCAAGTGATTTGTCTCCTGCCATCTCTCTCCAGCCTCTGAAAAACAGAGGCCAAGGACACCATTTTATCCCCTGGCTAATAGCCACTGATGGATCTAGCCTCCATGCATTTATATAGCTCTTTTCTGAACCTGGTTATAGTCTTATTTTCCTGAACTTGCTGTTGTTGGAGAACATTTTTGCCAGCTCTGTGTTTACGCCGAATCTGGAATTTAAGCTCTGTTGCGAACGGGCACAGGAAAGTCACCTGGGGTTGTTTCTTGTCACTGTATGCTTGACTAAAGGCCTTATCGTGCAATTTCTAGTGTAAATTGTCACAGGAAGTGAATGTAAAATGTTCTTCCTATTGAGTGTCTTCCGGGAAGCATTTCTGTTACTGAGCCCTGATTGCACAAAGCGTGGTGGGAAATGGATACAAATAACTTTTTCTTATTTACTTTTTCCACACCAGTCATGATTGTATAGACCTCTATCTTATCCCCCCTTGGTCTCCTCTTTTTTAAGATGGCAAGTCCAAGTCTTTTAAATCTCTCTTCATATGGCAGCCGTTCCAAACCCCCATCATTTTTGTTGCCTTTTTCTGAACCTTTTCCAATGCCAACATATCTTTTTTCATGCTCAAGGATTGGCAACGACACAATTTTGGGGTAAGATCTGAGTTATAAATTGACCTGGAGCTGTGGGTGGTCCTTTGGGATCAGAAGAACCTTTTATTTGGTGAGACTGGTTTTCATAAACTCTCCTCTGTGTAAGGAGTGGAACGTTGCTTCATGGGTTCTGTGGCAGAAGGCCCCAGGCAATTACCCATCCCTAAAACTGGCCCTGGCTCTTCTAGGCACAGGTGAGCCACGGAGTTTTTATAGCATTGGAGAGGGGTGCTAAGAAAGAAGAAGACTGAGAACTCTGATCTAGAGTGAAAAGCTCCTTTCCTTCCATTTGCAGGGGGCTGATCCACCAATCCCATTGTCTCTCATGCGTCTGCTCTGGTTACACACGTTCCTTTGGGTGAGCATCCGAGGTGCTGAGCTCCTGCCGCGCCCACTGACTTGGGAACACTCAGCACCAGGGCGTTAAACGTTCGTTATTTCCCAGGCCCCCTTCCATGCATCGAAGGGTAGGGGTGTGTGCGGTGATGCTGCTAGCAACTGTCCACGTGCTTGTAAGGCCTGACTTTGCACATAAGGTGCATGCAAGGTCTCGTGATGTGGAGAAACCATTTTCATAGACCTCCGTGTTTGGCAGCCAGATGGAATTGTCTCATGAGCACAGCCGGGGGCGGGGCATGG